ATATATAGTAGAACAAGACAGACCGCCACAAATCCTTAAGACCCAGCGGCCTAATGTATTGCACACATACAAGCAAGTAGGGGAAGGGGATAGGGGAAGAGATCACACATGGAACAGAATTTAGAGAGGGAAGGAGGGAGGGATAGTTCCCTCATGCAAACAAACTAAGACGGAATCCTATGGTTTTCCAGTATGCAACTATCTTTCATTTTCAGTAAAAAAGCTCATGTTCTCATTCTGCTGGCAGGGTAGCTGTCCTACTCTGGAAGGGTCAAGAAGTGAAAGCTGTAGGAAGTTGTACATATAAAATTCATTGTGCCAAGTGCACCTCCTTTTATGCAGGGGAGATTGGAAGACCTCTTTCAACGAGGCACAAGGAATATATATCAGGCAGCCAGCAAAATATGATCAAGGCCATGGTCTTTGCACATGCTGGCGGAGCAGCCTCATTGAAGATTTCTACACTGGCAGTAGAGCCCGACCTTTGTAGAAGGAAGATTACAGAAGCAACGTGGAATCAAGTGTTTAATTCCTCCAGTTGTATGCCTGGTGATTCATCCCACCTAGTGACTGAAGCTGGTATATAACACAGAAGTGTTTCATTTTGGATTTCTTCTATCTTATTCATTTTTATGTACATTTGCAGATCATGGTTTGCTACTGAAGACTAAGTTATGTGCATTGCATCACCAACATATTGCTACATTGGAACAAAACCAACAGTCTTGTGGCACCTTGTGGTTACAAACATATTTGGCACAAGCTGATGTGGCGCATAGACTGTTTCTACAGATGCAATTTCATCAGGTTCCTATCCTTCACCAGAGACAGGGAATCTCTTACGATTTATTTCAAAATAGCTAAAGCTTGCTGCCTTGGAGAAGGAACCACTGCACAAAGAAACAATAAAGCTACAATTCTATATACAGCTGCAGAATTTATTGGGGCATACTGAATGTCTATATTCATTTCACTCTGTGTTGTGATCACATGGAGGGTGAATCACATTTTGTTCCACTTGTGGAGTGGTCCAGTGCAATTTATTTCCCCATGATCGCACAACAGACAAGGAACTGAATTCCATCATTGTGGGTGATCACAGAACAAAGAAAAGGCTAATTCCCTTAGAGAGAGAACAAAAGAGTTGACAACAGATGTCCGCGCCAGCGGAGCCTACTGGCACCACCCTGAGGGCTCTTTTTACTGACCTAGCATGATTACAAAGTATGTTATGAGAGAAACGGATAGGATACTAGTAACCTAATCATAACTAGGATTGGCTAAAATAACCCTTTGATCTTATGGTCTACCTCTAAGCGAAAGGGCAGAAGAAGGGGCTAACCCACCTGCAGGCAGCTTTCACATTCTGCCAGGAGTGTCTGCACGTCACTGAAACAGAATGCGGCTACAACCTTTAGGCAGGAGTTTCCCATACATCATGACCCCGATCTGTGCACAACATAGACATTTTGGGTCCAGCAGTAGGGGTACTATATCTTGGAGCTGGACTCCAATTATTCCCCAGCAGACAGAAGGTTCACTTTAAGGGAGCTCCTTTTCTTTAAAGAGATCACACTGGTGATGAGCGTTAAGGGTTGGAGGCACTGTGCTTCATAATTTCTACTCCTACCTGTAAAGAGTCCCTGTTAGAGAGTAGCACTAGATGACTGTTTATCAACCACTATCAACCACGTTGTGGGATATAAGAAGCTAATATCTTGTACCTGCTCTTATATAACATCTCTATGAAGCCACTAAAATTGAGTATTGGGCTATTTGGAGTAAGGTACCATCTGTATGCTGATGATACACACACATGTCTCAGTATATGTGAATCAGACATGACTTTGCAAGTCTTTGATCAATGATGGGCCATATGAAGGTGAATAAACTGTAGGTGAGCTGTGGCAAGACACATTGCCAGGGGCAAAAAATGATGGAATCCGTACCAACTCCTGCCATTGTACACAATGCACATTGCACACAGCCTTGCAGCGCATTCAAATGGTACTCAATCCATTATTATTATTTTTTTCTCCCGTTTATTTTCTTTCAGAGACCATGATGGTAAGGAGCAGGAGATACTGTAGTTCTTGAACCTGTCCTAGGTGCAATAACCAATCTGTAATTGGGAGTACCCTGTTGCTGTAGCAGGTCAGAGTGGCTTTTTCCAGTAGAGAGAAACCCCTGGACAGGGACAACAGCAGAGGGACTGGTAGCCAAACGGGTGCAGCATTTCGTACATCAGTTTCTATTCTGTGGAATGGCTAAGCAGCAAATGTCAAGCACATGTGAGTATTCTTTGGCTCCTAGTGCCTATACTCTTGTTCAAATAAGCTTTCCCTAACTAAATTTCCAGCCTTTGTTGTACTAATGGGGCAGGGGGAGCAGCCATGATAGTCCATTGCAGTAAAAACAGTGCAGTCATCTCAAAGACACATTTTTTATTTTGCATACACTTGGTAGACTCCAGTCCATGTTACTGAATATATGTAATTGTTCTTATATTGAAAAGGTTTTTCTTGATATTGATGTTTTAATCTTTTGCAAACCACACATGAATCTTTTCTCCAGTGCAGTGCATTTAATGGATGGATGGAAGGTTAAGTTGTATTGGATGTTTAGAATGTTTATTTCTGAAGAGACATATCAACCCTAGCACTGGAAATTAGATTTTGTCTATAATAAAATTATTTCCTTCAGCATTTTTTTTAAAGTATTGTGGAAGCTTTTGGCAAATAAAAACTGTCTTACAGTTTCAAAATCCTACATGTGACAAAACCAAGTTCTTCAGATGATTTGGTCACAAAATTACCAACCACTATTCCATTCAGACTGGTTTAATGGGGATGCTGCTGAGGTTGCCCGTTCCAAGGCAATATATCTCAGCAGTTTCAAATAAATGAGTTTCTTTATATTCTGCTTGAGTTCAGGCACTACAATGCTTTACTGCAGCTTCTTTCAAAATCTACAGCAATAAGACTCTTGGCATTTTTCTGGATTCTTTTTCGACAATGCGATTTTCCACGATAGTGTCCCACTTTTAAGCAATCATCTCTGCAGATACTCTTAAGTGGTAAGGATAAGAGGACACTGGAACTTTTAATAACAAATGGGAGGGGTTCAAAGGAGTCTCAAAGTTTGGTTTGGATGTTGTATTTCAGGGATATAAGGAAAGAAGTAAAAGCAACCAGCCTGTGAGCTGTTGAACCAGCAAAGCAGTTTTCAAGATGACAATTTGCTACCGTTGTGAACTTGTCTCAGTTATCAACAATATCAGCTGAGGCCCCACAAGTATACATTGACCAAAATCCTGCTGCATAGTCATTCCAGCAGAAGAGGAAAGGCATGACTCACAGCAGCAAATTGTTACTAATTAATGAGTCCTCTCTTGTATGCCTCACTGTGTACCATTTGGGTGGCTTGGTACATGACCAAGAATAGAAGCAGAGACTGTTTAATTAGCAACCATTTGTCATTGTGAGCAATATCATTTATCTACAAGTGACATAATTACACAATATGGGCAAATCTGTTTCACTTTTGAAAATGTTCACATTTTTCCAAGCATGCATTTGCTGCATCCAATTTCCATATTAGCTAGCAAATGATTTTGAAGTCCACCCAAATACTCAATTTTATATGGTGTATCCAATAATGTTTACATTTTTGTGAACACTTTTCCATAATAGATGTCTCTTGATATGCAGTTTTTCTCTAATAGGTGCATTGGTGTACCTATATCTTAATCTTCTTGTGACCTCCGTATGTCCTTGTTCTGAGAGAATAGCAAAATATAAATTAGCCAAGTGTGCTGTCTCTGAGATATATATGTATGTATATATATACATAAATACACAAAAATAAACAGAATCAGGGTTATTTATGTGATTCCAGGGCACCAACATGGCTGAGCAAAGAGCCACTGTTCAGTGCCACAGAAGAGCAACACGACAATGCATCCTTCAGATGCTGTTTGGCATTTGTACGGTTAAAAAGATGGCCAGCGATTTCAAGTGAGAAAAAGAGAAATAAAATGACATAACAGATTCACCAAAGGGGAAAGCAAGTGAAAACTGAACACGCAATGGCTGGAATGATATTGAATTTTAATGCCAATGTACCTCTCATGCCATCCAGTGTGCAACATCTAATGGCTGCACTAACTTCCTGACTTTGAGCAACTTGCCAACAAGATTTACACCATCATACCAGCAGGTATAAGTGGATTAGCAGGGTTTTTTTTTCCAGTACATCTCGTGATGTCTCCTAGACTCTCTCTCACTCGCTCGCTCTCGCTCTCTTTCTTTTTGCACTTTCTCAATTTTGATCATAAAACTGCAGTAAACTAAACCAAGAAATACAAATTAGGCCATATTAAAATGTGAAAAAAATAGATCCCCCCCCCCATAATTAGCTAAGCAAACCTAGAGACAAAACAAGCCTATGTCCTGAAACTCTAGGAAAATTTTGTTGTAAACTCCAAAAGCAAGGGCACGGGCATTATTTGCTGCTCAACCATGCAATTTAACTTATCTGCATAATACTGATATAAGAATACAATCTTTTTGACAGGGAAGTGGTAAGCACAGTATTTGCTTTATTATTTTTGTTGAAGAAAAACAGAAGAAAGCAATCTAACTGTTTAATGGCTTTTCAGAACTCTATTCTTCTGGAAAAATCTTCCTCCTGATAGTTTAAATCTTCCTTTGTTTGTTATGGGGGGGGGGACAGCATTTTCTTTTCACATTTGTAAACAGTGCTGTGGCATAAAAATAGTTGTACCGGAAATTGAAATTCCATTCCCCATTAATTCCCATTATAGTCTTTAGCTTATATGCTCTCTCGCTCACTTGCTCATTCTCTCACACAAACATCTCTAGTTAATTCTCATTTTAAGGCACTGCATGTTATTCCTCTGGAGTTATACAGGCTGGTCATCCAGGGCTGGCCTAAGATAATTTCTTAGCCCAGAAAAAAGACAAGAGGTCAAACAAGCCCTTTGAACTCTAGGGGATGGAACGGGAAAGTTGGCTGATCTGGCAGCTGAATATTACTTCAGTGCCAACAGTAGTAACAGGCTAGCATAAGGCCTCAGGGTGAGTGGTGTGGCATCCACAATGGTGTCCTCAAGAAGAGGAAAAATTGAATGTGTCCAGGCTGCTAATGCCCCCTCAGACACATCCCATATCTGCTGCCTGAGGCAGTTGCCTCATGGAACGAATAGAAGTCTGCAGCCATACTGAAACAGCTATTGTTGCCCATGAAGAAAGACATTTTCAAACCCTGTTTGAAAATACAGGCCTTTTATCTGTTGGATACCACACTGAAATCCCCACTGACATTTTAATTAGTTAGGAAAATGAAACTAGAGTCCAGTTCAGATGATACACTAATATCTTGTGTGTGTTTTTAGGATGTTGAGGGATTTTGGGTAGGTGAAATTTTCATTTCTGCTTATGTTTTTAATAGGAAGCTTTCAAAAAAATTAAAAAATTTTCATGAGCTGAGTAGAAAGAAGTTGAGCTTTAGAAGGACTGAAGGTGGGAGGAAGCACAACTATTAGATCCAGTAAGTAGAGGACTTTGGGTGATCAGCCCTCAAGTGTCTAGCTTTCGATTTCTACATATTCAGCCATGTCTGTGGCACTTAAGGGTGCCAATTCATTCCTTCAACACCCTTCATGACATAACATGATTGTTTTCATACTGGGCTAACCCATATCTATGAATCTGGCCAGTGCAGATTATTGAAGATTTTGCTTGCCTCCTTTTTTAAAAAAGAATTTTCCCAAACTCTCTAGTTTCTATATATATTTGACAGAATTTTTTTTTTCAAAGCACTGAAATATGGGAGAAAGAAAACCAACAGATTTTCCCTTTCCTACTGAACATTTCAGTAACTCTAAACAGAATTTGTGTTTGGTCAGGGAGGGGTTTCCAAAGAAAGCAAACTCTGAATGACTATGTCAGCCTCCCCTGAACTGATGCTCTGCTAGATGTTTTGGATGTCAGCTCCTATCAGACTCAAAGAGCAGGATCAGTGGTAAGGACTGCTAGGAGTTTTGTTCCAAAATGTCTGTAGACATCAGGTTGAAGACAGTACAGTAGTATAATGTTGTTTGGCTTCAGCCGTGCTTTAATCAGTTAAAACCAATATTTACCTGCATCGATCATATGTAGTGCTCTTTTGTTGAAATTTGCTAAAAAAAAAAACAATAGCACAACAACAACAACCTGGTGCTTGGTTACTATTACTAGGAATATTTAATTATCCTTCTAAACCTGACAAGGAAGAGAGAAATTAAAAGCGCTACAAAAATTACTAAGAAACACAAACACACCTGGAATTTAAATGGTAAAGATTTGGCAAGAGTCTATTTGAGACAGGGACCAAAATCCAATGAGGATGAGCAGCTTCTTCCTTCCCATAGGCTTCTCTTCAGACATTTGGGTGCATGACCAATTACACTCCCAATTTCACCATCCTGGCAACATTGTCCAGGTGACAGAAAACCTGTCAGAAACCTGTCAGAAGGGGGAAAGACATAAGTGATTGTCTGTATGCCAAAGTGCCGCCCAGACTTTTAATGCATGTTTCCTACATACTCAAAGGATATACACTGATGGAAGGTATATTCTGACAGACAGCTTCTTACAAGTTCCTATCTAATAGCGCACCAAAGGATATCCAACCATCATATTGAGGGAATCCCTTTCCATGTAAGATTGTGAAAATGCATATTTACCTAAATGGCAGTCCCTGTTGTGGGAAACCTACAAGTCTTGCATTACCAAGTGATGTGGTAACTGGTTTCTGCTAGTTTTATTTACTGCCCAGTTCGTCTTCCTTTGCAGACAGTTATATTCCACTGAATATCAGTGAAGGAAAAAGATGCAGAAGGACAACGGGTGATGTGGTTTACTGCGATGATCAATCACTGTTTCATCTATACCTGCACAGGTGTGGCTTATGACAGCAAGAAGGAAAATGGAAGCAGGACACACATAACAGAAGTTAACGCTGAGCAGATTTACAATCAAGATGGCCCACAGAATGACAGAAGACGTAACTTTCAGGGAGTTGTCTCTGGTCTCAGAGAGGTTGGTTTCAAATTGAAAAGGCAGGCAACAGAGGTCATAGTCCTTTTAGTAATTAACATGTAACATGTACATAAGTAAAACTGTGTAAATCATGGCAGTAAACTGCTGCTAATTAATATGATGCTGGTTGCATTCCTGGTCATACACCCAGCCACACAGCAGACACTTTTTGATCCACGGTAATTTACTCCCATAACTTACAAGAGTTCATGTGCTTGTGTAAATTGGCAACAAGATGGCTAATATCTGTTTTATAGTCTGATGCTCCATTTCCTTGGGTGCAGCATAAAGTTACACCGACATAGGTTTGCAGGGAGTTATAACCATGCAGTCCACACTGTGTGTCTGATTGTGCAGTTGCACAACTGTGCCTATGGAACTGTTGCTAGATATCACTTCTGCCTTGGTGCAAATTTTGGAACTACTCGCAACTGCAAGTTTTGCAGGCCTAGGTATGCAACAGGATTTGGGACACCAAGTCATTTCATTTGCTTTCTTGCAAGGGATAGATTGTATTCCCATGAGGTTCATTTGTTGCTTCAAGAACTATTTAGCTCTGCAAAAGGAAAGGATACAGCAAGGCATACACATTATCTTGCAAGATAGAATGTTTTATTGTGTCGAAGCACTATGCTAAGGCTGGAGCCACATTATCCCCCTGCTTATCCTGGAGTGGGTGCACCTGGGAAGAAGTCACATGAGCTGAAGGCTATGGACCCTGACTGGAACCATGTCATTCCCAAACACCCTAGTCTCCTCAGAACCTGACGGTGTCTCCAGAATTTGAAAATCCATAGGCACTTGGAAGACATGCAAGGCAGAACTGCATCGCACCCATACAAACCCTTAGATCACAGTAGTTGCTCAAAGCAAGACCTGGTTTAGTACCATAAACCCTCAAAACCAAAAACTCAGACAGTTGGTTGAAGAAATTTTTACATTTTAGTAAAAGAAGCCAAAGAATGGGAAAAGGTAATAGATACAGTATTTCAGTTCAAGATGGTTCTTTTGAGAGTGTAATGCAAGATAGTCTGTGCCTTGCAGTTTTGGTCAGAGGTGGCTAATTTGCAAGACCTTCTCATTTCTAAACAGAGGCCACATGATGGAAAGTTTGTCTCACACAGAGTAGCAGCTGGCACTTCTGCTCATCCCCTGATGTTAAGCTACTTATTACCCAAAGTTAAGCAAGGTTTTCTGGCACAGGAGGTAGAAAATCTTTCAGCACCACACCTCATCTTTCACAGTAAAAATACAATATTTGCTGCCCTTTCATGACATTCTAATCCTGCCTCATAAGAGTATTCATAACCCAACTCGGTTAAAGCCTCGAGTACCAAGCTTGTGCAACTGGAGAACATGAAGAGGGAAGCAGATCCCCTAACCTCACTACTGGCCATATCAATTTACATGAATAAAGGCTATCCGACACTTTTTTTACACGTAAATACATAGACACACACCAGAAGACCTCCATATTATACTGCATTATTGGAATTTAAGTCCTTTTACCCAGAAAAAAAGGACAAATCAAATCATGTGCACAGTGCAGAGCAAGAGTTTTTAAAACCTTCACTCTAATCTCTTTGGGCAGCAGTGACAAATTGGTCTACATGCGGGTCTATTGAATTAGCTGTACTGTATAAGGATCCATATCTGCAAGTAATTTATGCATTTTTGCACACAGGATTTTGTCCGGCATTTGTTTCAACAGAGCCACAAGAAATGTTTTGAAAGTACTTCACACAAAAATATGGATCTGTTCTTTCCTACATTGTGTCACTTTTACTGATTAGGTTTCTTCTGGTTTTAAAATATAACATTACTTGCCACGGTCCTTTCGGAATGTATGGGCTGGAAATCATACCAAACCCTGTTTAGAATTACCATTCGAGGTTCAAACAGCAATGATATTTTCTCTTTTTCTTAGATTCAAACTGTGACCTTATTTTCGATTTTATATATATATCTTGGCTCAGGACAAGAGTGTACATACTGCCATGCAACCAAACCCACAAATTAAAGCTTGTGTTTGAAACACTATCGGATCCTTAATTAACTTTAATGATACCTCTGGGTACTGTTGTCACACATTTCTGCTTCAATAAAAACCATTTTAAAAGCCTATTGAAAGTCTATATTTATCCTGTCACTGATGAAGTGTTGCCTAATAGTGGGATCCTCCTTATAATAATCCATAAAACCAGAGCTCCTCAAATATTCTGGGGGGGAAATGACTGAATTGGGAACATTAGTCTGATTTTAAAGAGTTTCAAAGGGCATATCCAACATACAGTAATCAGAACAAGATCCTGACAGGCAAAATGTCTTTACGAAGCAAAATCTAAGAGGAAATGTATTTCTTTATATATTTATTTAATCAGTATCCAGCCTTTCAGCTAGGGATGTGTAGAAATCCCTTGACCTGCATTATACTCAAATACAGTAAAGGACATACAGATCAGGGCCATCCTGCCTTGGAGCCTTTAGGAGATATTCTGATCCGCTCCACCCCTGGGTCTGTGATATTAACCACTATCTGGGAATGCAGTTGAATGAATGAATGAATGAATGAATGAATGAATGAATGAATGAATGAATG